AGCTTGACAAAGCCCTGGCTGGGATGATTTAGTTGGGGTTGGTCCTGCTTTGAGCAGGGGATTGGACTAGATGACCTCTTGAGGTCTCTTCCGACCTTAATCTTCTATGATGGGAGCCAGGTAGACACCTCTCCTGGGGGCAGGTAATTCCACCTCAGGACACCAGGGGGCACCCTGCCTGTTCCTCTGATGAGGCAGGTACTGGCTATAATTAAACAGGACACTTGGCTGGACTTACCCCAGGTCTGACCTGGTCCAGGAAAGCCTATGTAATACAGTTAAGGCACTGGTTAGACTAACCGAACCCAGGACGTTATGGTATAAAGAAGAAGCTGTTTCTGAATCAATGTGATTTCCAAAGCACCCAGGGGATCTCAACGTCCAATTCCCATTCATTTTAATGGGTATCCAAAGTCCTCAGGCGGCTTTGGGAATCTCAGCCTAAAATGACAGGTGAAGTGTTCATTGGCTACGAGTAGGGCCCTACCAAATTCACAGCCGTGAAAAACATGTCACAGACTGAGAAATCTGGTCTCCCCGGTGAAATCTGGCTATTGTGGGGGTGGGGGGGGGGAAGGGGTCACCCACAGGATTGCAACCCTTACTTCTGCGCTGCCTTCCGAGCTGGGTACCCAGCCACCAGCCGCTGCTCTCCATTCTCTGTCCACCCAGCACCATCAGCAGCAGCGCAGAAGTGAGGGTGGCATAGTATGGGGGGAGGGTTTGTTACTTTTTGCAGGGAGGCAGGGCCGGCCTTATGGGTGTGCAATGTGGGCAACTGCTAAGGGCGCTGTGGTCATTCCCCCCCGCCACACACTGCCAGCCCAAGGCCCCTATAAACCCCAAGTGCTGGGCATGGAGCCGGGGAGGGGCAGGGCTGGGGACTCCTACCTTGTGCTGGGCTCCAGCTGCTAGTCCCGGCTGTGCTGTGGAGGGGCAGGAGGGACTTCCTCTTCCCCTGCATGGCCTGCTGCCAGGTTCGGGTCAGACCCACCCCAGGGAATCTCCCTGGCTGCTGGCTGGGATCCTAGGTCTGAAGGCAGCGCCGTCGCCAGCAGCAGCGCCGAAGTAAGGGTGGCAATATCGCATCTCCACTACCGTAGCCTTGTGACTGCTCCCCACCTTCCCCCTTTTGGGTCAGAACCCCCATGAAATTTCAGATTTAAATATCTGAAACGGTTACATTTAAAGTTTTACAAATCCCATCATAATGAAATTTACCAAAATGGAGCGTGAATTTGATGGGGCCTTAGCTACGAGTCTATATTCTCTCTGCATCATCCCGCCGCCTAGCAGTTGGCCTAGCCTGTTCTTAATGCAGAGTCGATAACAAACGGAGGTGCTGGCAGCAGGTGCTTGTTGTAAAGGGGACACTGTCTGTACTCACACGGCCACTCTGCCCACGCATAGCGCAGGCGGGTGACAGCGGCCCTGCAGCCAGGGCTGGACAGCGTCACTGCGTGGGAAGATGCCGACACCATGGGCGCTGGAACCCACTGGCACGGCTCCTGCGCCGAGAGCTGGGGCCGGTCAGAGCAGCACACCTGCCGGAAGAAGCACAGACCAGTCACGTGACCTTGCTCTGCTGCACTGAGCTGTTTGCTCTGTTGTTTTCTGGCTCAGGCGGCTGCATCGCTGCGCTCTGGGGTGGAGATGGCAGAGCTGCCCTGCAGTGCATGCGATTGCTTAGGGCCCCATGCACCTCCCAGCTCAGCCGCCTCTCCCCCTTGGACAGCAGGGGACGCAGCTCCCCCCACCTCAACAGCAGGAGAGGCAGCATTTGCTAGATTGCCCCTCTAGCCCTGGGCCCCAGCACATCTGGGATTTGTCCACTGCAAACTTTTATTCAGACAACTAGCCAGCGTGCGGCAAGAGCTGCCTGCCCCACTGACATCGGGCCAGCTATTCCAGCAGGGGGCACAGCCCGAGCTGATGGTGCTGGAGGGGTCATGTGCCCCCCGGAGAGCACTCAGGCTAGCCCAGTAACAGTGCAGCCCCTCTGCCCTTGGTGCTTGCCTTGAGACGTGCAGGGACCCCCATGCTCCTCACCTCAAAGATGCGGTCGTGCATTAGAAGCAGCAGGAGTTCCTGGCCATACGTCACGTTAATGAGGCCCCTGGCTCCATCCACCACGACTTTTGTAGGATATGGGCCTTGGAAGACCAGGCCTTTCTCTCCATATGCCACAGCTCGGGCTCCCAGGTGCAGCCGATACGCCACGTTCTGTTTATCCCGGGGGTGAATGCTGCAAAGAGGGAAGCAGAGGGGAAATGATGGGGAGGGGGCAGGGAGCCACTTCCCAGCAGTGCAGCCAAAGGCAGTGGCTCCTGAAACTCCACCTCTGCCAGCAGAGGGCGCCGTGTAGCTCCAGGGTGCCCTCACCCCACCCCAGCAGCTAAGAACTTTGTCGAACTGCAGGATGAGTCAACGGGACCCTGCAGCAACTGCCTGGAGAGGTTGGGGGTGGGAGCAGATGCTGGAGGGAGCAGGTCTGCCAGGGAGTGGGACTGACTGAGACAGCGGCCAATCCTGGAGGTAAAGAAGTCAACCGTGGGAGGGGAGGGCTAGGGGCTCCCTCCACAGCAGCAGCAGCGTCTCCTGGACTGCAGACTGGCTGCAGGGTCCCAATCAAAGGGCCGATGACCAGGCCTGCTGCTGGGGTGGGGAGCAGCAGGGAGCGGTGGTAGGTCTGGCCTGACAAATGATCTGGAAGGGAAGCGGGGAGCAGCTGTGACTGCCAGGGGGGCTAGAGGAATAGCACAACGGGACCCGGAGAGGTTAGAGAGGCCACCGGCCAAACCTGAGCCAAGGTGGGAGCCAAGCAGTACACCCAAGCCCGTTGTGCCGCCCGGTACTTGACAGGGCTAGCGACCTGTACATCTCCCCGCCTCACACACCCAGCTGGGCGAAGCACAGCTAACAGATCTGGGAGGCCAGTGACACGGGGGTGGGGAGTGGCCCTGGAGCACTGTGCATTAGGGGATTTCTTCTCCTCCCCTTTCGGCACTCCCTGTCCTCCTCCTCTTTCCCGGCCCTGCCCCACTCTCCTCCCACACTGCAGCATGGCCCAACAGACGCCTGCTTCAGCCCCGCCCCTCATGTGTGTGGAAAGGCCCTGGCACCTCCAGGCCGGGTGCTATGGAACGTCCCCTGGGTGCACTGCAGGCTGCAGTGCAGGGAGTGGGCAGTTACCTGCCGTAGGGCGAGTGCTCGTCACACAGATCCACCGCCACGGCCATGAAGGTGTTGGGCATTCTCTTGTTGGGTGCGTAGCCGTAGTCAGCTGTCTGGTGCCACCGAATGCGGGGGAAACGTCATCCTGGTCCTGCCGGCGGAACGTGGATAACTGCAAAGACAGGGAGAGTTGGGAAAGAGCTGATCCCCCACTGGGGCCAGAGCCACCCCCCGCCAGCCCTGCTTCCTAGTGTCCCACACATCAACCCACCCTAGCAGGGGGCGGTCCAGGGGGCCCTGACTTGCACCAGCAGCCCCATACTAACTCCCCATGTGGAGAGTTGAGCTTCTGCTCCACCCCAGCCCATGAGACACCGGGGCCAGGGGACGCCCCCAGCCAGGCAGAGCGAGGTCACCATGGCATAGAGCAGCAGTTCTCCACCAGAGCCCCGTGAGCAGGTTTCAGGGGGTCCGCCAAGCAGGGCTGGCATTAGACTCACTAGAGCCCAGGGCAGAAAGCCGAAGCCCCACTGCCCGAGCTTGCTACCCCCAGTGCCGGCCTGGCTTTTATACAGGGGCGCTGGAACAATGTGTATAGTGGGGGTGCTGAGAGCCATTGAACCAAACTGTAACCCCTGGATATGATGGAAACCCCTTCAAGCCAGGGGGTGCAGCTGGACCCCCAGCTCCCCTAGTTCCAGCACCTATGGTTTTATATGCAGAAGTGGAGTTTTTATAGCATGTTGGGAACCCCTGGCACAGAGGGTGGCAGGCAGGCAGAGGAGGAGTGGTGGGCTGGGACAGAGGGCTGGTGACCGGTGGGAAGGGAGCTGGGCGAGGCCCATCGGCGGGACTGTGGGCAGGGCACTAACTCTAAGGTCAGCTGGACTCTCTCAGCTCGTCCCCTCACGCCCTTTCCCTCCCCATCCCTGCTGGGCTCAGTCCTTCTCCATCAGCTTCTCCTCAGAGTGCGCCACTGACGCTCCTCCATCCCAGCACTCTCCTCCTTCCTCCCAGGCCTCTCCCTCCACCCATACGCTCCCTCTTTCCTCCGCCTCCCCCGCTCACCTGAAGCCAGGAGAGCCTGGGGGTGAGGCAGACAAGGGGACAGAGCAGGGGTGGCTTCTCTTCCCCCTTTCCCCTCCCAGTGCGTCAGGAGGGGAAATGAGCGTCTAAGATGTGGGGGGCCCTGTCTTCCCCCGCTCCCCGTTCTGCTGTGAGATAGAGATAGGAGCAGAGGAGCCGGCAGGGCACAGACCCCAGTCAGAATGAAAAGGGGACAGACAGCAGTGCCTGACTGCCCCACGGGGGCAAGAGCGTATATCACCCCTCCAGCACAACTCACAGCTCACTCTCCCCCTACAAGGCCTCTATGCCAGGAATTGGCGCCTACGGCAAGACCACTCCTGGGTCCATTAGCGTCAAGGAGTCAGCAGGGAAACTCTGATCAACCTGACTCAGCCTGGCTCTCCCCTCGGTCCTGCGCAGCATCAGGGATCGCTCTGCAGTGAAGTGAGCGAAACGAGCAGGAGCTGGCTCTGAGCAGCGATTCCTGTCTCCGTGGTCAGTACCCTGGCTACCAGTCACCTGGACAAACCCAAAGGGGAAGAGCGACTGCGTTTGCCCCTCAGATCCGGCATGGAAGGTCCTGCGCCAGTCCGCGATGAGAGCTGGGAACGTGCAGTTGTACAGATCTGTGTTCACTAAGGCGTTCGCTTCACCTGCAATGAGCACACGGGACAAATGAGAGCTGCGCCCAGCACCCGAAGTGGCGTGGCCGGTGCCGTGATACGCTGCCAGACTTACCCTGGTACCAGATGACGCCCGTGAGGGACATGTTGAGGAGCGGGTGGATCATCGCATTCCAGAGCACAGAGGGCATCTTAGGGCCAGAAAGCAGCGTGGGAAGAAGAAACCTACGACACAAGACAAGCACCGATTGATGGGGGCAGCACCTCACGCCACACAAGGTGACCGGCCAACTCCAGGTGGCATTGATTCCCTACGGTGGGCAATCACTGGACTTGTTTCTCGGGGACTGGATACACAGGACCAAAAGAGATGAACCGTTTGGGGTCAGACTGACAGGGCTAAAAGCACTGGGAAAAGACAAGCCCAGCCCGAGGGAGATGAGCTGGAAAAACAGCCTCTAGGGAAGGGGTTAAATGGTCACTAACGAGATGCCGTTCCCAACTCCTCTGGGGTTATTCCAGCACGTGCCCTGCCAGCCCTGCCTGTGTCATTGCTCTAGCAGCATCGCACTCCCCCCGGGTACCAACCCACAGGGGAAGCTTTTCAAGAGTGGAAAGTCAGAGCTTGAATTACTCAGGTGCGGAACGAAATAGGGTTTGAGGCTGGCCCAGCAAGGGCTGGAGGCAGCGGCCAGGGAAGCTTCAGGGGAGTGGGGTGAAGGAGGTGGCGGCGGTGAGTGCAATGGGGTGGGGAGGAAGAGGAGGTTAAGGGCAAGGTGGTGCAGAGGAGCTGGAAGCTCTGGAGAGGGGCGTGGTGGGGACAGGTCATTCAGGTGGAATGGGTCCGGCGAGGGCACTGAGGGGACGGCTTATACTTAGGGCCCTACCAAATTCCCAGTGCCTTTTGGTCAATGTCATGACCACGGTTTTTTTAAATGAGTCAATTTCACAGTTTCAGATGTTTACATCTAACATTTCATGGTGTTGTAACCCTGGGGGTCCTGACCCCAAAGGTGGTCAGGGTATGGGGGTCACAAACCTATTGTAGGGGGGGAAGGGGTCACGGGATTGCCACCCTCACTTCTGCCCTGCTGCTGGCAGGTGCACGGCTTTCAGAGTTGAGCAGCCAGAGAGGAAGGCTGCTGGCCAGGCACCCAGCTCTAAAGCCAGCACTACCGCCAGCAGCAGTGCTGAAGTGAGGGTCGCAGGCTATTGGGAGAGGGTGGGTTACCATATGTCATAGAATCATAGAAGATTAGGGTTGGACGAGACCTCAGGAGGTCATCTAGTCCAACCCCCTGCTCAAAGTAGGACCAATCCCCAACTAAATCATCCCAGCCAGGGCTTCGTCAAGCCGGGCCTTAAAAACCTCTAAGGATAGAGATTCCACCACCTCCTTAGGTAACCCATTCCAGTGCTTCACCACCTGCCTAATGAAATAGTTTTTCCTAATATCCAACCTAAACCTCCCCCACTGCAACTTGAGACCATTGATTCTTGTTCTGACATCTGCCTCCACTGAGAACAGCCGAGCTCCATCCTCTTTGGAACCCCCCTTCAGGTAGTTTAAGGCTGCTATCAAATCCCCCCTCATTCTTCTCTTCTGCAAACTAAATAATCCCAGTTCCCTCAGCCTCTCCTCATAAGTCATGTTTCCCAGCCCCCTAATAATTTTCGTTGCCCTCCACTGGACTGTCTCCAATTTGTCCACATCCTTTCTGTAGTGGGGGGGCCCAAAACTGGATGCAATATTCCAGGTGTGGCCTCACCAGTGCCGAATAGAGGGGAATAGTCACTTCCCTTGATCTGCTGGCAATGCTCCTACTAATACAGCCCAATATGTTGTTAGCCTTCTTGGCAACAAGGGCACACTGCTGACTCATATCCAGCTTCTCCTCCACTGTAATCCCCAGATCTGTTTCTGTCCAGTTTTCCCAGCAGTCTCCTGCCCCAGTGGAGGGCTGACAGCTGGAGCTGCAGCCTCCCCGTGTGGGGGAGGTGACAGCTGGAGCTCCAGAGCTTCTTGCAGCTGGAGGAGGTTCCTGGAGATGTGTCTGACCTGCCCTGGGAGTGGCCCCTGCAAGGGAGGAGGAAGTCTGGTCCCTCCCCATCCCCTGCCAGGACTAGCAGCTGGAGCCGGTGCAGGGTAGGAGTCCCCAGCTGGGTGCCAGATTTCACCGGGGAGATCAGATTTCACGGTCCATGATGTGTTTTTCACAGCCGTGAATTTGCTCTCAATGTCCTCACCGACTGGCTTCGCCTGTGAGCCCGCACTCCTGCAGCACCCTTCCTGAGGACCAGGATTCAATGCAGCTCCCTCCCCAGGAGGACTCCACTAATCCTATGGGGTACCGGAGCGTCTCATACAAGTGACGGCCGAACAGCCAACACACAGCTGAGAAGTAGCTGAAGTTCCCGTGACCCAAGTTTTCTGTTCAGGAAAAGGAGAATCAAGAGGCAAACATCAGAAAACTGCAGGCGATGCAAACGTCAGGGGGAGCTTCCAGAGGCAAAGTTGCAAGTGCTGGGGGGGACACCCCCATCAGGGAAATCCATCCTGTGGGAGGGCCAGTGCAAGGACAGAGTCTACCTGGCCAGTGTCCTGTCTGATCCAGAGGAGCAATTCCAAAGGGAGGGGAATTGTTAGGCTGAATATCAGGGAAGCCTTCCAGAAATGGGCATCACCTCGCAAGGGACGGGAGAAATTCCCGTTCGAACTGGACTGAACAGCACACTGTAAAACATGCTGGAGGAAACAACCTGGATTAATCCCAAGGGCTGCCTGGAGAGGACATCACTGCTCCCTACAGCAGCTTCCCACCCATTTCAAAGGTCTTGGTCCTTATCTTTAAGGCGCTCAATGGCCTAGGCCCAGCGTATCTAAGAGCCTCGCAGTCCAGGATGAAGATGTGGTTGACAACTCCATTCCTCAGGCACAATGGAACTTTCCAGCACCACGGTAAAGCTGGTCGGTGCAGGAGACAGAGCTTTCTCAGGGGCTGGGTCCGGAGTCTGGACCGAACTACCTCAGGACCATCACAAACCTCCCCACCTTCCACTCCAAGGGCCAGGTACCTTCTCCAACCAGTCATTGCTAAGACACAGAGCAGTATGGCCATGTAAAAACAACAAAACCACTCCCAAAGCAAACGGCTCCACTGCATGCATAATCCTGCCCCTGGGAGAGGATGAGAGAAAGAATAAACTGCTTGTGACTGATGCTAAATGCACAACTGGAAACTCAGATATTTTTGAGGGTGAGGGTGGAAGAACCTATCCAAGGGTGACCAGATAGCAAGTGTCAAAAATCAGGAAGGGGCTGTGGGGGTAATAGGTGCCTATATAAGACAATGCCCCGAATATCAAGGCTGTCCCTATAAAATCTGGACATCCCTAACCTATATAGACTAGAACAAGTATTCTAGAAATCAGAGCTGGAAGAGAACACCTCCAGGATGTTAAATTTATACATAGGGTTTGCTCTGTTTTGCTTCTTTATGATGGATGAAGAAGGCCTGAAAGGTTCTTTCTGCTTGTTTTTTTACCTTAGCTAAACCTGGAAGGTGGCATCTGGTCTCGCCCGGTTAAACAACCGGGTTCTTGAAAGTCTCAGAGAAGGTGGGCTGACATTCTTGCCCCTACGTGTCAGTTAGGCTTTGGAGCTAAACAGGCCCTTTTTAAGGGGGATTTGTACTCACCAGCTGTCGGTATAGACCACTCCAAGTCAATCTTCGCCAGGTCCTGCAATTCCACTTCAGACTGAATAAGAGAGGCCGTGAACACACGGACATATGGATAGAGAGGTGCCTCGGAGAGCTCCTTACTGGCATTGATTATCTAGGAAACAGGCAGGGCGGTGAATCATCATGGCCTTTCCTACAGCAGTCATGGCTGCTAATTGCGTGGTTAACATACAGTCTGCAGTGCTGAACTCCTGCAGGTCCCAATGACAAATACTCCGGAGGGTGAGGTCACTCAGGAGTGCAAGAGGCTGGGAAGTTGTGGAAACTCCAGCCACATGGGAGAGATTTAAAACTAGACTGGACAAAACACTAGGAAAACTGAACTGGATTTCTATGATTCCTTGTCGCTCACTTAGCAAGCTTAATGTCTGACCCTGACAGATCAAAAGGGAACAACTTTCTTTTTCTTTGGACATAGTTACCAGCCCTGTCCCAACCCCTACAAAGGCTAATGCCTCATTACATACTGGAGGACTGGAGATTACCTGGGAAACTGTCATCTCCATGTTACTTTGCCCACTGCAGAGCCAGACGTCTCCAAAGTAGATATCCCGCAGCGTCAGATTCTTTGGCTCTTCCCTGGAATGCTGCTCTGCCATCACACTATAAGGGACACCATGGTCCGCAGGAGCCCGGACAACTTTCCAGGGACCAGAGAG